CTCCCCACCGCCCCGGCCTGCGTCCCACCACGCTCCTCTGCAGAACGACGAGAGGACACCCTCCCCAAGTAAGTGGTGCAGCACGGCGGCAAGCTGGGCTGGGTCACTCTGGATTTTGGTGTGCTGGAGGGAGCGGCACGCGTGGTCTTTTGCCGTCCAGGCAGGGCTGTAGAGGCTCCTCGGGACTGCATTCCCGCAGAAGCTGAGGGAGCAACTGGTTTCATCCTCAAACTCGTTTCATCCTGCCTAAAATTATTCCCATAAAAAAACCCCAATGTTTTTAGAACGGCATGATTTTTGTTTTGCATTGCACCACTGCTCTGCCCTGCTGTGTCACCTCGGTACGGCTCTCGCAGGAAGGCAGGGGTTGGTGCTCCAAGAAACGTTCACAAAGTTCCCAGAAGCGGTTTCCTCTGAGGTTCTAGTTTCAGGTTAAAACCCACTCCTTTCTGCAGTGTCGTGCAGGGGGACACCGACGTCCTACTGGGACTGGGAGAACAAACACCTCAACATTAGTGTTTTGCCCAGATCTGTAGCCTTAAAACCATCGCCTGCCCTGTGAAGAAGGCAGAATTATTCCTTGGTCTGGTCAGTCCTGGCCCAGCCAGACGTTTCCCATTGTCTGCAGCTTTGGCATTTGCTCAGCTGTGTCCCGCTCAGGCCCTTCAGCATTGGGTGTCACGAGGGCGCGCTCCTTACCCAGGTGGCAGCGACGCGCGGAAAGTTACGGGGAGCTGCAGCGCAAGCCAAGCAGCGATGGCCCCGCCGGCTGTGAGCTTGGTGTGTGCTGGGGGTACGCTCCTCATTTTCCCCTGTGCAGTGGGAATTCTGCTGCCAGCACTGCTGGAAGCGTGCCCCTGGGGCCACATGGCCAGTGGCAGGTGAATCGGTGCTGAGGACTATTTGGATTTTTAACTGCAGCTTAGAGGCGTTTAAGCCATCATCCCTGGTGCGCGGCTGGGCAGGAGCAGTCAGCTCCCGGGGTCTCTGCGGAGGTCTGCAGCTCTCCTGCTGTGCCGCGCGGGTAACCTGTCCTTGTCTCCCCAATTAGTCACCCTGCCACAGCCGGATGACGATAACCCTCCGCCCCTGCCGGAGCGAACCCCCGAGTCCTTTATCGTGGCCGGTGAACCTGGTAAGTGCATTTAACAAAGCAGGGGCTGAGAAGTGCTCTGAGGCTCTTCCCATGTTTGTGTGGTATCATAGCAGCCAGCAGTGCCTTCGCTCTGGCTCTCCGGGGTGTGAAACGACCTCTCTTGTGTTCGATTGTTTCTAGGACAATTTCCTCTGGCCACTTCTGATTTTCAGCTTTCAGACAGAAATACAAATATTGGAACCTCTCTGGAGTGGAGTGGTGAGTCTCACTCAGAGGTGTTTAATGACTCGGTGAGGCTGAGACCGTGTAAGGTAAGGGGCTGCTTATCTCTTCTCCAGCACCATCACTGTGCCAGTTTCCTGACTGTGTTTCCTTCTGTGAGAAACACCCTAGTTTTGGCACCATGAACTATTTCAGGGTTCAGGACTGGGAGGGAGATGTGGTCTCAGTCAGGCTCCTCCATATCAACATCCACTTTACTCCAAACAGTACTTTTTGGGGTCCTAAATCCCATACAAGTAGCAAAAATATCGTCCCTATGTTAGAGAAGGGTCATGAAGACGGGGAGTTAGTGGTCTGCTGAGGTTTGCACTGTCCTGTGGAACAGGCAGGAGCTGCACAAAGCGTAGGCATCTCTTGGTCATCCCACAGTTGAATTACAGCTTTGTGAAGCGAAACAGTAAGGCGTCAGTCTGTCTTCCATTACGTGAGCACGGAGGTGGGGTGGGGAGGCTGTCTGCACCTAACATCACGTCTTCGTCTTCTCTGGCTTGCTTGTGTGCAAGAGAACGGCATTTGGTTGTGGGAATTTCAAATACCTTCCTTATCTCTTGTTTCCAGAGTGTGAAGCTCCGGAGCCCACAAACAGGTATAAGTTTAATGCTGGGATAAACCGCCTTTGGAAGTAAGGTCTGCTTGTACTGAGGCTGCTTTACCGTATTTACTAAACATCCTTGGGATCTGTGCTCAGTCCAACAGAAATTTTGTGTTGCTAAATAGTTCTGCAACGGAATAGTTCTAAACATAATGAGACAGTTCTGCAGCAAAATGAACTGGCAGCTTTACATTTCCCACCCAGCTCCTGCCTCACCCCGTACGTGATGATGTCCCTTGCAGCCTCCTCGGGCTGAGAGCTGTCACATCTTTTGCTGCATTTGCGTGTTTCCTTTGAGACGATCAAGATAGCCGATTAGAGCGCTGGGGACCTCTCAGTGAACTGCGATATGTATATATATGTATGTGTGTTTAAAGCTAGGTAACCAACTCTTTTATCTTTGCTTTCTTAGAGACAACCCGGGATCGCTCTAACTCTCCTCCCCCGCTTCCTGAAAGAACCCCGGAGTCATTTGTTCTTGCTGATGCAGCAAGTAAGTGATGAGTTCTTTTCTTGGCATGTAACTGAGATTTTACATTTACACCTTGACCTGTAGATAGCTGAGGAGATCGGGGCCCGCTTGTTCAAAGCATTGCCAATGGTAGCGCTTCAGGACTTAACTGCAGGCGAGTTCAGCGGGTATAAAGAATGCAAACACAACCAGGGGACCTGCTGGAAACTTCTAGAACTGCTGCATTGGAGTAAATGAAAAGCAACAGCCAGGCACTTGGGAAAAAGCAGGAGGATTCTTGAATGACCACTGGAAATGTTCTGATCTATGTTCCCAGGTCTGCAGCCTGCTGCAAGGTATCCTGTAATGAGTCCTCCGGGCTGGGAGAGCAATGCTTCTGAACCATCCTCAAAGGAGCCTATGAAATGCTTCAGGAGAAGCAAGGTAAAAGCAACAAGACAAAACAAAAGCTGTTCAAAACGGAGGGGGCGAGGAGAGATCGTTCTAGCTACAGCTATCTCTGCTTTCTCACTGCTAACCCTGTGAAAGTCACCTGCTTTGAGACCACTCGTATTTAGGGCAAGGGAACAAGACTAATAAAAATATTCTGTAGTCGAACTGCAAGCGAAACCACTGCCTGCACTAGGAACGGGGTAACCCAGCCATGGCCGTGTGAACGGCTGTGCCCTGGGACTCCCTCCACGCCAAGCGCCCTCTTGGGAAGTTGCTCGAGTGGCGTCTGAATTCCCATGTAGGAGAGACGCTGCTCGTCACCAGCCTCCTCTTGCTGTGGGCCTCGTTAACAATCCTCATGAGCGATTGTCCTTCGGGATGCTAGGGTTGAGCACAAAAGCATTTGAGGAAAACAGCAAGAGTACTACAAACTGGAGGCTTTTGGGCTGGCTAAAAAAAGCCAGCGACAAAGAGACTGGCAGAAATCGGCACTTCAGCCCCAGCTGCTACACATGGCTTTTTACAGGACACATACCGGTGTATTTAGCAATGAGTTCCCTTGATCGTAGTAGCTCATCTACTGCTTGCTACATTTTTTTCCAACAAGCCTTTTTCTTTTTTTTCCTACAGAGCTTGAAGATATTGAAAAACATGCGAAAGGGTAAGTCTGTCAGGCTGACACGCACCTTCCTCCTGGCTTTAACCAAGTGTATAAATACACAGGATTCAATTTCAAGAACCTGAACTTGTCGAAAGTGAAATGCCCTGCACATCTGCCTACCCTGGGGCAGGACACCCAGAGCTGAGCTGGCTGCTGAGACCCACCTCCTCTGGACAGCAATGGTTGTTGTAGCAGTATCACAAGGGTGCTGCGGTGCCCTTGCGGTGCCCCTTGGGTATACCCTGGGGACAGCTCCAGTGCACCCAAATTACCAAATTCTTCAGGTCATGCAAACCAGTGTTGTGGGACAGATACTCTAAGAACGGGGGGCAGGGGTGCTGTGGGGAGTGCGAGCCCCAACCTGGGTTCTGCCCAGGCTGTTTGTCCCCAGGTTCCCTCTGACCTAAAATTCAAATGCTTATCCTGAAAACAGGACTGCTGAGAACTGTTCAAAGCACTGCTGAGCAAACGCTGCCTGCGCGGACGCGCTGCAGCAGTGCAGGCGCTCCCTGCTGTGAGCAGACAGCGTTAGACCTGCGCGGCGCTCCAGCTCTGCCAGCCTGGGGGACGCTTGGCTTCTTCTTGTGCTGGAAGAGCATCCGTGCCGGCGCTACCGCGCACGTGGCCGTTCCTGTCGGGGCTCTGCGGGGAGCTACCGTAGCGACTGACTGCTGCAGTCTCATTTTTTACTTCTAGGCATCTGTAGTCCACCTTCACTGACAAAGCCACCAGAATCTGCCCCATCAAACCAGCCGAGGTCCTTCTTTAACTTCGGTACGTTTTTCTCTTTGTGTTCTGGCGTAGGAAGTACCTGTTTTTCCAGCGTCTGAATGCAGGTACCAGGCTGAATGCTAACAAATTACAGACTTTACAAATAATGCTTAGTATTTTTCACACGTTCACAGCTTTATTCACAAATGGTTTACAAAACACGTTAAGGATGGAAAACACAAACCCTGAAACCTGCCCTGACAAACATTTCTCGGTGTGTGAGGGGCCTGAAGCACGATTTTGGCTTTCCTGTACCTGAAAGCCTTTATGCGGCAGCAGCGACAGCGGAAGCAAAGGCTGCTGCCTTATGTTGTGTAATATGGCAGAGGAGAAAGACCCTGTTTTCTATTTTAAATTCTCTGACTAGAGAGTAGTCATTTATTAGATTAGGTGTAAAACCGCCCTACCTTGCTGTTTGTGCTATAATGGCAGTTTTGTCAGACAGACACATCGATAGACACATTGCACCGGTTGACTTACAACTCTAGGATGTTGCTTTAAGTCCACCGTATCTTAGAGTTTGGGGAAGAACTGAAAACACAAGCATTTTCAAATACCGTATTATCTTAAGGAACTACGCAACCAACATCTGTAACATACAGAATTTGTTGCATTAAAAAAAAATTATTTCTTCCTAGGCTTTGCAAATCGATTTTCAAAACCTAAAGGACCAAGAAATCCACCACCAGCATGGAACATTTAGATACGTTTTATAGATCTGACGTTTCAGGCTCGTGACGTCCTTCCGATACGCCTTGAGTGCTCACCCCCGTAAGGTTTCCACCAAAATAAACACCTCAAACGCTGCTGCATGGCATTCGCAGCTCAGGCACTACTTGCACATTCTTCATCAACTGGAGTCTTAAAGGAAAGAAGAACATGGAAGTACCAGCAGCTACACACTTCCAGTTAATTTACAACAGGATGGAGACTGAAAACAGGAATATTTTATCCTAAGGAGGGACACATCTGTGTTGTGTTTTGGAAGGTATTCACCTCAGAAGGATGGATTTGAGCTTTCTGAAACAAAGCAGCGTAAACTGGTGACAGGATCCAGCAAAGACTACTGAATGGTACGGAAGGCCAACGGAGGGACCACAGCAGGACACGCCTCTGGACCGAGCAGGCACTGCAGCTGCGTAACGTCCCTTCACTGTGTAGGTCTGCACAAGGACCTGCATGTCCTTAAATGTTTACATTACTGGGACTAAAAGAGAATTAGCATCTCAGATCTTAGAAATAATTTTTCTGTAATTTTCATCTGAGCGAATCAGGTAATTTGTCTGGATTTTTGGTCAGCAGATGCTGATTGATCACGTAGAAACTAAACCAGCGTAACAGGCTGCAGAATTGCCTCGCCCAACTGCCCTCACCTGGGGGAAAAACCCCAGAAAAAAACCCCGCCCCCGCAACCAAAACATCACCGTGTTTTTAAAGCAATGCTGTTTTCAGGATCAGTGACTCTCCAGCGCAAGATTTCAAACGGGTACCTTGGAAGATGAGACTTCGAGGCAGATTCCTCACCAGATTCCACTGCTATTTATATCCTCAGTGGGGAGGGATAAACATGTTGAAAATGGCCTGATGTGATTATTTTCCTGTAGAGAGAGAAAAACAAAGTGGGATTTGGGGAATTTGGGTGAGGGTGGAACCTGCTGACCACTATGGGAATGGGGAACTCGCGCTGGTTCGCAGCTGTGTTTGCTGGCGCGATGGCCAACACCGCCCGGAAGGGCTGCCTCGTTCTTCACCCAAGTCACCTGCTTTCCCAACAGCAGGAACCAACAAAAGACCCGATTTCCGCTCCTCTTGCCAATGTCCGTGCTGTACCAAACGCGCCACGCTCCGGGCGAGGGCGAGCCCGAGGCGGGAGGAGGCCTCAGCGTCTTCGCGTGGCGGAGGCCACCCCAAGCCCCGCCAGAACTGCCGCGCGCCAGCCGACGGCGGCCCGG